TAGATAGATCGATAGATAGATCGACAGATCGAAAGATCGAAAGATGGATAGGTCCATAGATCGATAGATAAGTAGGTAGATAGATAGATAGATAGATAGATAGATAGTTAGTTAGATAGATAGATAGATAGGTAGGTAGATAGATAGATAGATAGATCGATATATCGACAGATCCCAAGATCGAAAGATCGATAGATCGATAGTTAGATCGATAGGTTCATCGGTAGATGGATCGATAGATAGATCGGTAGATAGATCGGTCGATATATACATATGTACTATGTATCTGAAGCTCAATGCGTTTGATTCTTGCAGGCCCTCAACCATCGTAGGACATCAGGTGTATCACAGCTATGAGATGCCTTCGCCACAAATCCTGAGAGCCCTCAGCCTCATATCCTATAAGCCTGCGGTTGAGGGTTTAGGGCTTAGGGTTAGGGATTAGGGTAGCTCCAAAACCTATAGTAAAATGATCAGTTAACCGACCTGAAACCGAATGCCTTAAACCCTGAGTCACGTTCGAAAAATGCTTTCGTCAGAAGCTCGATTGAAAGTTTCCCAAGGTCACCTCCAGCGATTGCGACTGCAACGTTAAGCGCTTACGGCTTAGGGTTCAATTTTTCGTTCATGAGCTTCCAGCAGGGCTGAGCGGAGGTTGTCTCTAAAGCCTCTGCGGATCTATACAATGTAGAGGCCTTAAAAATTAGAATCGGGCTTTGGGGTATACTATACTATGTTGATAATAAGGAATCCCAAACCTGTTCAAAACCCTATTCAAATTATTAACGCCCCTACATTAAAAGAGCCATGGCTGCACAGTGTATGCAAGTGATAGACCGAAAACTTTGTAGGACCGTGGCATGCGAAGAAGCATCGCAGGTACTCATGCGCATAGGGAACACAGAGATGCACGTACGACCATGGTTGTGTACGTTCATGTTCTGCCATGTGCATGTATTCCTCAAGCATGCATGTCTGTATGTGGGTAGGTAGGTTGGTGGGCGCGTGGGTGCGTGGGTGAGTGAGCGGGTAAGTAGGTAGGTAGGTAGGTAGGTAGGTAGGTAGGTAGGTAGGTAGGTAGGTAGGCAGGCAGGCAGGCAGGCAGGTAGGTACGTAAGTAGGTACTTAGGCAAGTCTGCAACAAGCAGATGTAAGAAGTTATGTCTGCGTATGTATGCATGCATGTGAACTGATGTGCAGATGTGTAGGTACACAGGTGGATAGAAACAAAGACCGGCTCAGATACATGCAATTCGGGCAAACCCCTAAACCCTCAAACCCTAAACCCTAAACCCTAAACCCTAAACCCTAAACCCTAAACCCTAAACCCTAAACCCTAAACCCTAAACCCTAAACCCTAAACCCTAAAGCCTCAACCCAAGCCTCTCAACCTTAGTGTCTCCAAACAAAACAAGCGACGCAGACTTTCGCATCGAGGTTTGAGTTCAGAGGCTCCCCTGCCATGTGAGACAAGTGCACATGACTTCGTGTACTGTGTCCCAAGTGCCAGATCTTCGTCCAGGGCGCTTTGGCACTCTTTACGCGTTCCTCTACGGGATTTAGAAGCTTGAACCCTCCGACGAAGAAATTTGGCTCTGAAGCGACGCCGTGGCAACGGCTTCTATGCAGATGGACGAGTACTTGCAAGCTCCTTCAAAAGGACCCCAAACCTTGCGCCCACAGCTTCATTCTGCTATATTATCCCAAGCCTATGGAACGATGAAGAACTAGACAAACTCCAAGAACTACAACTTTGACCCTGCCCTGAACCCTACAATGCTGTCCCAGTCCGTATGGTGGAACAAGCCCCTCCAGCACAAAGCGAGAAGACACAACTCGTCGTAGTAGCAGCAGAGGCAGAGGCAGTAGCAGCAGCAGCAGCAGCAGCAGCTGCAGTAGTAGCAGTCGTCGTCGTCGTCGTCGTCGTCGTCGTCGTCGTCGTCTTGGCAGCAGCAGCAGTGGCAGTAGCAGCAGCAGTAGCAGTAGTGGTAGTTTCCCATAACCTAAAGCCCGAAAGTGCATGGCACCAAGGCACTGAGTGTGCTGCTGCCCTGACCGGTCAGGCTTGGGCAGTCGGGTTTAGGGTTCAGAGTTTCGGGTGCAGGGTCTAGAGTTAAGGTTTAGGTCTGGGGTTTGGAGTTTGGGGTTTAGGGTCTAGAGTTAAGCTGTAGGTTTAGCGTTTACGGGTGAGGGCAGTTTAGGGTTTAGGGTCTAGAGTTTAGGTTTAGGTTTCGGGTTTGGGGTTTAGGTTCAAACTGTTCGACGTTGTGGCTCTCCGCGCAATTGATGGGTGCAAGAAGCCTGCATGTCCTGATTTCAGATGCTAAACACAAAAGTCCCGAAGCCCCGGTTTCCAAAGCCCCAAACCCCGGTGCCCTCGAGCCCAACACCCCAAACCCTGAAGGGGCTAAAAGGATGTAGGGCCCACCCCTGCAGCCCCTCAACTTAACGGATCATGTGACGTAGTACCTAGGGTCATAAACAAGGGAATTTTGCTACCAATTACTCATAGTCCCCAGAGTAAGGTAGTAGAGGAACCGCCTTAAGAAACCCTGGGTTTCTATTTGGCTTCTTCTATATGAGCCCCAATACTTTGAGCCATAGAGGGCCACAGGATTTCTTGAATCAGATTCCTACATTGCCTATAACCTTAAACCCCCAAAGCCTTAAACCCTAAAACCTAAACCCCCAAAGCCTTAAACCCTGAACTCTATAACTATAACCCTAAACCCTAAACCCCTAAACCTCACTGAGTCCCATGATCCTCCAACGGCAAGGGGCCTCTCAACTCGAGAAGCCTGATCTTGCTCTCGTCAAGTCGGCTACAATTTCGGGTTTAGGTTTTGGGGTTTAGGGTTTAGGGTTTAGGGTTTGGGGTTTAGGGTTTGGGGTTTGGGGTTTAGGGTTGGAGCTTGAGGGTTTCGGGTTTGGGGTTTAGGGTACACATATCCTTATCTGATTTATGAGAGCTCATGGGGTTTTGTTAAGGGTTTAGGACTAGTAATATCACGGCCATGGGCACAGTATAGTTCGTTTGACGGAATTCTTTGCTAGTGCGCCCCCGTTCCCGTAGAATTGGTTTTGCGATGCTGTCATCTATGCTGCTTACCCCAAACCCGAAACACGAAGCCCTATACGCTCCAAGCCCTACGCCCTAAACCCTGAACCCACACCCCCAAACTCGTGAACCCTCAGCCCTAAATCCTAAACCCTAAACCATAAACCCTAAGCCAAAGCCTTCAACCGTGCCAGGAGAGCTCTTCCCAATATGGGGAGTGGCTGAGACTGGGATCCCTCGGTGAGGGGGCGGAGCACCCTACGGCTTCGTTTGCCGTTCCTAGGTACTTGGGTTTCGTTTAGGGTAGTTTAGGTTTTTGGTTCATGGTTTAGGGTGTAGGACTTTGGGGGATTCGGTGTTTTAAGTGGCAACAATAGCTCCAAGCCGTAATATATAGAGGTCTTAAAATTTGCAGTAAGGGCTTTACACCCAGTTCCAATCACTGGGTCCTTGTTGGCTACAGGTTTACATTTTGGTAATGTTAAACCCAATAAGGATTGACCATGATCATTTCTAATAAATAAATAAATAAATAAATAAATAAATATATATATATATATATATATATCCCTAAACCCGAAACCCTAAGAAGGAACCAGATCAGATTTCGGTTTTATGTTGAGATCGATCTCCGGTCTTCTGAACCTTTCAGCATGCCCTGCTGAAACGAGCGGGGCTGCTTCGCCAGCAGCTGCGGGATGTCTTAGTGATGTCAGCATGCGGTAGACCTACAGCTTGGTTTAGGGTTTGGGGTTTAGGGCTTAGGGTTTAGGGTTTAGGGTTTTGGGTTTAGGGTTTAGGGTTTAGGGTTTTTTAGGCACCTGTCTTAGGGTTTAAACCTAGACCCTAAACCTTCAAGGCCATAAGCCGAAATGAAGCGGTCGGTGGTTGAGCGTGTATTCCGGCTGTAAGGTTGGGTGTGTACGCTTGTGTACGGGGGCTCCGAAAATTCTAGTACCTCAAGACTCTAGTCTGCTTTCTCAGGCCCCGATGCGATGTTGTTACACTTTGCTACCGCGTAGCTAAGAGACTAAGACGCCCCTTGACGCAGCCAGACACCTGTGACAGCTGGTTTTGGCGATCCAGCAAAAACGGTGCGGCCATGACTTTGGGTTTCTACGAGCCTCAACCGTAAACCCAATGAAGGAGCCTAAATAATTACCAAGACTATTGCGGGGGGTTCCTCATTATAGTGAGAGTAGAATAAACCGCCAAAGTCCTATGCGAATTATTCAGGCCCCTATATTTGACCCCCAAAACCTGGTGAGTTTAGATTCCAGGGCGTGGGCTGTAGGCTTTTGGTGTTTGGTTTCAGGGTTTTTGGTTTGTGGGCTTAGGGTTTAGGGTCCCTAAACTCCCTAAACCCGAAGCCAAAACCCTAAATCCGACACCCTAAACCCCTATGGAAGTATTCTTAACTTATCGACCCCTTTAAAGGATCTCTGAATCCCCGACAACGCCTGGCTCTCGCAGCAGTTAAGCACGCTCTCCCCCACCGCTTCCGAGCCTTAGCGCGGCGAGCCATGGCCCATGTCACACGCCGAGGCGCTCGACTCTGCCCCAATCAACTTACCTACCTAGGGTTTAGGGTTTAGGGTTTAGGGTCATGGGGCTTCATAACTAGGGTTATAAATAAGGTAACTATGCTTATCTTTAACTATAAGTATCACCCCAATCAAGGTACTTGTAACCCGACTTACTAAGTCCCATGATCCTCCAAGTAGGATGTTGAGGGGCTTTAGAGAAGGGTGTAGAGAGTAATATTTAGGGTTTGGGGCTTAGGGCTTCGGGTTTAAGGGTTCAGGGTTTTGGGTTTAGGGTTTGGGGCCAGTTGTATGTTTAGTTGCTTGGTTTCTATCGGGCCTCTCCCCCAAACAAAGAACGGGAGGGTCTCGGGCGCAGAGTTTCGGGTTTCTAGGTTGGGGTCTAGGGCTTAGGGCTTCTGCATGTTCGGTGTAAGGGTATGGAGTGTGGGGAGGTGTCGCGAGATTTTTGTTTCTGTAACTTCGGCAATCACATCCTTACCACCTCTTTGAAGCCTACTTACTAAGTCAAAAGAGGCTGTAAACCTTCATGAGATCGTGAAAGCCCAATTCCCTCAACCCTAAACCCTAAACCCTAAACCCCTAAAGCCCAATTCCCTAAACCCTTAACCCTAAACCCTAAACCTTCATGAAATCGTGAAAGCCCAATAACCTAAACCCTAAACCCTAAACTTTCATGAAATCGTGAAAGCCCAACTACTTACCAAGTGTACAGCGAGCCCAGGAAGCTATAGGGTTTAGGGTTTAGGGTTTAGGGTTTAGGGTTGAGGGTTGAGGGTTGAGGGGTTTGGGGTTTAGGGCTTAGGGTTTAGAGGTTTGGCGCTTCAAAGGGCGATAGCTTAAATTCCGGCGAACTCCTGAGTTCTGCAGAAAGCCATACTGCATAAATACAGGAAATCGGGCTACGAAAGATAGGTTGTGGGGTTAAGTCCACAAAATCCATGGGCAGACCTCCAAATAAAAGTAGCCACCTGAAGGTTTAGGGTTTAGGGTTAGAATTTTTCTAAAGCCACGTAAAACCCGTTTCTGAAATCCTCGCAACACCTGGCACAGCCCTTGAAATACGAGTTCCAACAATCTTATATACACCCCTAAACCCAAATCCCGCAATCCCGGTACCAGCATCGCGGACGGCAAAAGTAGTTCAACAAAAAACCTCCCCAAAATCCATCTCTCCACCGCCGACGAGGCAAGGCATCCTTGTTCCGTCGAAACACGGAAACCGGGCACTACTTGGCACAGATGGCAGAGGGGAGCAGGTGGGGGCTTGAGGGTGTAGGCTTAAGGCAGTCGGTTGCAGTCTACCTTTTTGTGGTTTGGGGTTTAGGGTTCACCAATTCGATTAGGAGGTATACTCTCCGAGTAAGGCGTCATCACCCACTATTTTCTGTGGGTGTGGGGTTCAGGGAAAGGGTTTACCCCTTTGGGGTGCGCAGGATTCCGGAGCTGGTTTCAGCCTTGTGCTTGTTGAAGCTGTTTCTCAAGGAGACCCGAACTCTGGAGCAGGTTAGGGGAAAAGTTTTTAGGTTCCTGAGTAGGTTCCTGTTGCCCTTTTTGTGTTTACGTCCCCTTATGAAAAACCGAATATTCGGAACAAGGGTACCCTTATTACACAGGCGCTACTCAGGTACCCTAAACCCTAAACCCGAGAATTATTACGTGGCTGGAGCCAAGCAGGAAGCGCAGGAAGCTTCTCTGTGGCTGACTATGCCAGGGGGACATAGTGAACCCCAGAAAGTTGGAACACGGATTTCTGATGATTGGTGCTACGGTTGATGATATAAATTCAGCATAACAAATAATAAGGAATATACCATAATCCCCATAGTTCAGGGTCCTTAGGGTAATGCAGGATTTATATCATCAACAGTAGGATTCCCTCTGTTTTACCTTAAGGGCATGAGAATAATGATG